GTGTGTGTGTGTGTGTGTGTGTGTGTGTGTGTGTGTGTGTGTGTGTGTATGTGTGTGTGTGTGTGTTTATGTTTGTAAGTAAACTCTGTTAATTTTGTAAACAACTATTATATTTTTGTTTCAGCCGGTTCGAACATTGTGGGCAAATTTACTCAAAGTGTCAGGCGAATAGTGCAAGATGTCAAGGACGAAGGAACAGCCAGTACGTTACAAAACTAATTAATATGGATAAGACCGGGAACGCACCATCGTAGTATAAAATTAACAGTAGCACAGTAGTAGTTAGCGGTAGAAATACTAGTTTTTTCTGGTCTTCCAAGCAAACGCAACGTTAGAAATAACTCTCACGGAATTAAAAAAAAACATTTATTTGCTTGATTTTATTATTGTAATCGGAATCTATCCCGTGTGCCGTAATGAGTCCGGATGTCCCGTTTTGAAACTAATTTCCGCCTGGTAGTATGTACATAGGTATACGGTTCTAAAGTGGAGAGCTGACATTATGCATGGCTTTTTACCTATTTTTACATAATCGAAATCGTGCACTAGCTGGAACAGAACCAGACCACCGTTCGCGCTCCTAAGCGGTTCGGTAGAAAAAAAGTTATGGGAAAGACAACTGACGACACGTTAGTGTCCGATGAGTCACGTTTCTGTTTCAGAAATTAAGTATTCGTTCAAACGGACACCACTCTTCTTAATGGCACACGGCGTGGACGCAATTTTCAATAAAAAAAACTGTATAAAAAATATGTGAGAATTATTTAAAACCATCTCATTTTCCCGGGACACCGTGTTGCAGTACTACTAGTATTAGTATTAGTTGTAGTGAAAACTTAAAGTGTAGCGAACGATGGTAAACGGAAGAGACTTTGTTGTCCGGAAACGGGGATTCCACCGATTTTCGTGGGAAATAAACACGGCGATCAAGCGCATTGGGAACCGAAAAAACAATATGAATTTACGTTCGAAGGGTGGTATGATTCTCTGTGAAACAATAAAACGTGAGATTAAAACCCTTTCGGTTGGAAGACGCGTTTTATTGTATGTTTTATTATACCTAGTAGTCTTTAACTCCCTCCACGTCTCACTTATCCAGCTGTAGCTCACAGCTATCCCACGCGAGGGTGTTTAAATACCTTTGTAATCAATATTAATTAGACGCGCTGATTTAACCGCAATTCATTCCGCATCGTAATTAAGACCTATCAAAAACATATTTTTAAATTTGAAAAAACTTAGTTGAATTATTATTTTTTTTTTAACGATATTGTCAGTGACATAATCCTGTTTCTGAAAAATGTTTACAATTACTGCGCGTTCGTCGAGTTTTGAAAATTATTAAGACTTACGATATTATTATTTCATTTTTTTATTTTTTTTTATTTTAATTATTTAGATATTCGTTTGATATTGAGAGTAACAAAAATGCAGTAACTATATGAACTGAAAAATAACAGGAAACAACAATCACAATATTGTATTATAGGTGTTACGATAACGACTTGATGTAAATAATAATAGACCAATAATATATAGTAGGAACGATAAATATTTGTATTACGTGAGATTGTATTTTAATTAAATTTCAATAACAATATGACGTAATCGATTCGCTTACCATATAATGTACACAAGAGATAAAATTAATTTATATAATGCAGTAATTAAAAAATTATAATGGGACATGCCTATCATAATATTATTGTCATAAACGCATTATGCAAACGGTTACTGTAGAATAAAAATACATCACTGCCTGCTGCGTGAAACAATATTAAAATTTTTCGGAATTCTGGAAAATACATTGTTTTATATTCACTAAAATATGTGTATTTTGGCATCGTTTTAATTATTTACACTTCTAATAATTTAAATTATTTTTTTTTTTCAATTAATAAGAACTTTAACTTTTTAAAGCGTTATCTAACCTATTAATAAATAAGTAATAAGAAGTGTTTTTATACACCATTATTGTAAGAAAAAAATGCTCTTTTACATAACTTGTTAATTACATAGTTATTTCGTGTTATACGGGCATTACGAGTGTAAATGAAAAAAATTACCTTCAACCGAAAAACATCTTGAAAGTACATAGGAAATAATTTCATTACAAAAGATGGTATTATTTTATTATGGAAACACGTAGTTGAAACCGAATATAAAATAACCGTACTCCAAGAGGTATCGGAAACTGATCCTAACCTATCTTCGGCTTTAACACGATTGCGCTCGTCTTACCTTTTTACACGAAAAAAACGTATAACGATTAGGCTACAGAAAATGTCGTGTATAATATCTGCAAGAAACGCAACACAGTTGTATACGACTTGTACAACACAAAATATGAGTGTTTTCCTTTTAACAATTTTCAAATTCCCTAATTAAAAATATTCGACGTGATTGGTGTATACAAATATTCAGTGGGATCAATATTAATACGTCGGAATCGATGAAGCATCGAAATATGAACACATGGCATAAAACATTTGTCGTATATTTTTTTTTATACTTTATACGATACATACATTACAAAAAAGTATTATATCCTTAAATATGCCTTCTTCTTTTTACATAAAAATCTATTGAAATTACAAGCATATATTCATTAAAAATATTGGTTGAATTTTCATTTTCATTTCAATTTTTAAAAATAAATGCACACGATACTATTAAAAATATTTTTCCAAATAAGACAATGATGGTTTGTATATTTCTTTTATTTCTTTAAAGGTTTAAAAAAAATCAAATCTTCTTATTAAAAGAATACAAATCATTGTTGAAAAAATATCTATGATTAAAATGTTTTTACGATTTGAGTTTTATATTCAACTATTTAATTAGCAATGTCTTTTCGTGTTTAATTGTATATACTCCTATCGATAACAACGATTATTTAAATTATTACATAATCAAAATACATAATTTTCATATACATTAACAGCTCGTATAACATAATATGTTATAAAAATATTATATATAATAATATAATACATAATACATAATATTATTATGTTTCTAGTCAAATAATGAAACTCTTAGAAATAAACTTGTTTCACTAATTTGTAGCTCCAGCTCAAATGTTATTGATTTTGAAGAGCATATCGTGAAATCTTGGTGCTTGAAAGAAATACATGTACATGTCAATGTTTCATATGTTTTGTACTCAATTCATTATTCAGCAATATCGTTTACCATAAGAAAGAGTTTTTTGGAACAATAAATTTCGACTGTATGGAAAACGTATAATTTACAAATCATTCGAAAAATCAACGGTGGTGTTTCGCAATTCGCTAGACGAACTGCAATGGAAAACCGAATATGGCCTAACTAAAGGATCCATACCACACGCGTGTTAGCTTTTTCAACAAACGGCAAGAGACCCAACACACCAATTCAATAGAAACAAAACGCCATGCAATACTTTAAGAACCAATACGTTCCTATTTCATTCAAACATTAAAAAAAAAAAAAATAACTTTCATATGCTAATATGTTCGAGCTATCAAATCGCGATCCCATAATCGTTCAGTGGTATAAACGGCAGAACCATAGCACTCGTATTCTGCGTTGCTAATTTATTTACACCGTTCTAATAGTACAGCTTCTATGACATAGTAATCAAATCAGCCATACATGCAGAGGACTATGATTGGTAATAAAAAAAAAGCGTACAATGCAATGTGCGTGACATTCTATTTTTCTTGGGGGACAGTATAGATTCCCCTGGGTCAGTAAATAATAATAAAAGCGTAACAGCCTCTGTTAAAATTATTGGCCCATAGGATGGCCCATTTGGCTTAAAAATTATGACACGACCGATATTTATGGTAATATTCAACATAACGTGTGAATAATAGGGTGTGTAATAATTTAAAAAAAAATGAAAACAAATATTTAAAAATAATGAAATATCGTACGATTATTATTATAAAAATAATTTATTACAGTATGAAAAAAAAACAATAGTCATAAATTGTAACACATGCGTGCGTAAATCTCGAAAAATAATGAAGAAAGCGTCTGATCTCTAGACATCAATGTCCAAAACTTAATTTTAAAATCTTCTATAATAATATGTATTATATTAATAAATAAATAAATAGTGTTTATATATTTATATAAATGCTTAGCTTGAATGTCACGCGCCAAAGGTACAAAAATGACATATCCATTTGTGCCCAAATTAAAATATGCATACAAATAAACACGAATGATTATGAACAAAGATATTAATAATGTTATAACACATAACTGCTCATACACTGTTTGTATGACAATCTATTGTAGTAAGATATTAAATTCGTCTATTAAGATTAAACGTTTGAAACTTTTGAACGATATAGTTCTAAATTTAATATCCGTTATTTAATATCTATTAACTACGGTACAAAGGTACCCAGGATTTTGGCACTTATGTCTTCCACCGACCTGGAGTATTACTGTATTTGAAAAGTACATCCAGTATCGAATTAAAAATTGATCATCAGGTGTAAACAAAGTCAATCAAATCGCGACCTCAAATTCGTTAGTATTAATAACTTATTATTAATATTTTCATTAAATTTTTTATTATTTTATTGATAATATACAGATTATATTATCATTAAAAGTATTATGTATGTTCACTGTACTGTTAACATTGTTCAGAGTATATTTTTACATGGATATTTCAAATATTTGTCCAGCTCCGGCTAAGTTAAATTACATAAGATATAAATAAGTTACAAAATACAAAAACAAATATTTGTGAAATCGATAAATTATTTTAGAATAAGATTAATTTTAATTAAAATAAAACAAATATTTTTTTCGCCAACATTATTATATTATTATATTTGTACCACGTATAACAATCATTAAAATGTGTGGTCTCGAAGATTTTAAATCCGACAAGCGATAACCATAAATACTTACAATACATATTTATTACTGATCGTTCTCAATTTGAAATAGTGCTTCAGAATCCAAACACTTAGTATTACATAAAACCACACATTGTAGAGACGATTATTATTATTCAAACAATTTAATATTATACGTAATTACGTGGCTGTCATTATGTTAATAAAAATGTAACCATGCAAGTGATCACAAAAATATGCAAAAATAATATAAATATAAATAAGTAAGAGTGCATTGTGTCCCACAGTTTTAAAAAAAAAAAAAATTATACATTTTTTGTTTCTTAGTATCGCAAGA